AAAAGACATTGAAGTCGGTAGATGAAACCCTATCTCTAAGTTTGGACAAGTTTTCAGGTGTAATGCTTCTCCTTCGGATGGTTCTCGATGTGGAACGGTTCATATGGTGATGAAAATATTTATCGGAAATCTTAGGGTGCAAAGAAATAGAGCAATGATCGGAGCTGCCTATGGGAGCCCGCTTCTCAATGAAAAGGATTTCGGGGCTAATTACAAAATATCCCGTTGATTTGGACACCAAGCCGGGTGGGAAAATTTACAAGATTCGTCGAGCCTAAAGTTGTGAGGAAAGAGATATTAAAACGAATAAAATCACCAGCAGCAATGCACAAAGACTGGTCTAAACCGGTTACAAGTTGTGAAGAGAAGGAGTCGACAAACAGACGAATATCAGAGGCAGGCGTGTCGGGNGTGTCGGGAGCGATGTAAATGTTCGCTAATGTTATATGATGAAAGTGACTAATAAATCGGGGCTTACAATAAACAAAAATACAATTTATCTTGGGAGTATTAAATTGAAAACATTTACGAGCGTTTTTGCACCATTTTCTGTTTATAAAAGTGACCACTCTACCACCTCTTTGAGGGACGTTCACATTACGGTCGACTCCGAATATGTCAAATCCGTCAAGATGCACGACGTTGTCCTCAATGTCAGGATGTAACCAGCTTTCCTGGAGTAGAATTTCCCCTACATTCTTGCATTCCTTCTGGTATATCATGCTCTTGACATCATCGCGTTTTCCCATGAGCGAACGAACGTTACTTGAGATACCATTTGGCAGTATGCACGCACCGCAACAAAGCTTTCCGGACAGAGATATTCAGTAGTCGGGGATTTTGACCAATCTGTGGAACCCAAGTGCACGTATGTGATCGGATTGGCTGAATACCGCAAAACTAACAAACGGGCCGTGCCGCTGCCGATTGAACAACCTAGAATGAACCAACGTTTGACAATTGGGATATTTGTTTGCATCTTTTTTCCGATAGAATTCGCTGTACCCTAAGCTCGTGTTCGTCCCATCTGACTTCGTGTTGTTCAGTGGGGTTTCAGTTCCAGTATGATGAAGACAAAACCGAACCTTACGTGTCCATTTTGCTGCAAAAAAAGGTTCAGAATTTGATAGTAGTAAATGAGGTCTAAACTGAAACAATCACTTCCCCAAGTTGCGAAGAGTTAGTATGTTTTAGATGAAAGGAAATTTAATTAGCCTTTTTCCCCGGAAAGCGATCCTAAAGGTAGTGTACTAGAACATAACTGAATGTTTGTAGTAATTTATTTATTACACCAAAATCTTGCTTATTCATTGGACAGAAGGTATATGTATAAGATGATCGGTTGACTGTGCCGTTATCGATGGTCTTGATTGGTTCTGGGTTCTGATCAATAACCGTAATTGGGATATCCTCACTCGGATAGGATGTCCCAGATAAAAAGCTGTTTCCAGGGTGTACCGATACTGGTATCACATTGCCACTCTACTCCCACCTGAATTTCTTACGGTGGTTCTTATCTAAATCGATATGATGTGTCTACGTCCAATTATACTGACAGTATAAAGTGAGTATTGGTAATACCTTGTTGATCGATAACACACAGAAAATGTGGAACTATTTCAGAGCAAATACACCCAGATATCATCATCATCATTCTCTTTAATCGTGCCGTCATTTTCTTTGATTATTCACAGATTTGGTGACGTCATACATTTCCGCTGTTTACCGTAATAGTTCTAACCGCGTGCTCGCTGGAAGCTAATTTCACTACGAAGCTGTGCAAATTCAAGGCAACGGTGGTGTACGCATTTGCTCAACCGTTAAACAAATTGCAAGTAGACACCAAACAACAAATAAATTCAAAATGAAACCTGTTGAACACATCTATTATTTGTATGAATGTATTGTGTATGTATTTATAAATATGTATGTACATGGGGATCAGTGTTCATTTCCGGTGTTTCGCACTGATTTCCTCTGCATCATCCTTTGTTTGGAGGCGGGGCGGGNGCGGGGGTGTGGGGGGTGGGGGGTGGGATGGTTGAATTGGTCCGTATTATGTGGCCTGTGACGTAATCCCACGAAACAACAGCACACTGTGATTGAAAGAGGAATGGAAGAAAAATGCAGTAGCTAGCTAGAGTTCACGTTCATTGTTTAACGTGATGAAACAGTGACAAGGTGAGAAATATCAAATTATCGTAGAAATACCAATTATCCGGTATCTTTTTTTACGATGGAACTTTGGTAATAAGTAGCCGCCCGCATTGAGTACCCCTTCCACCCCACAACTTTAAACGGTATTCAATAACATTTTGGTTTGTTGAAGCTGCTCTAAAAAAATACAAGCAGGCTATTGGTGGAGACCTGTACAACCAATGAAACTTCTTTGTACATGTTCCTTTGCTCGTTCATTTATCTCAATAATGAACCACTACATCTGTGGTCCCTTTTTCCTGTGTCTCGGTGACTGGAGATTCCAGCGTACGATTGACAGTGCGATTCTGTGTTTCATTTGTGACTGTGATTTGTGGTCCGTAATCCGTATACCTGCTACGGATATCTGCTCGCCCACAGATGAGTGAATCACGTAAATACGGTTGCTTAGTCTTGCGTTCGTATCTCACAGACCCATTGCCACAGTTCTTCTGCAATACACACGGCTTGATGGTAGTGGACGATTTTTGTTTGTCATATCAGTGTCAGTGGTCACTTCATGAAAACGATTAATGCAGTCTAGGAGAGAAGGGCTAAACACTGAACGTTCCATCAGGTTTGTTCGAGTGATTCAGGTGTTGTAATCACCTATTTTATCTGAGTATGTGGGTGTTTGTGTTCTGCTCCCTAACCATCCACGCTTACCTTCATGATACATCCAGGCACGTGACCTTCCACTCTCCACTACTCACTGAATAATTAAGATCATTCGATCGGGGAGTTGGGTTGACCAAAAGTAACTTAAATGTATGAATATATAATAAGTAGTGTATGACTGTCTCGACAAAAATTCCCTGGAAGGACACGACGGATTTCACGCTTCTGGCCGTTAGTCAGGCATGGGTATCCGGTAATCATTTCTCAGTTGATTCATATACTTGTACCCAGGAAATGTAAACTTGCTTGCGACACCGGGTGAGTTTTGGATAGACAGCCCTTACAGAGCCGGTCCATGGAAGAAACAATACTAGGATTCCAGTTTTTGTTAGGTTCGTTGGATGCTACTGACCACAACAAACGTGACTTGAGCGTCTTTATATAATATTTCATAGTATTGATTCTTCAATGGACTGGCTCTGAAAGAGCTTTCTATGCAAAAATCAGCAGGCGTTGCAAACAAGATTATTGTGACGCACATATATATATATGTAGAGGTTGAACAAACTCGTGTAACACCACTCTCATTCTGAAAATCCATTTCAATTTGCCATATCATAGTTACCTATTCATGGCTAAGGGCGCAATGTATTTTGTCCTGATTCTACCTCTAACTTCAATGTTCATGATTCTCTTCGATCCCCGTTTGAATTTGCGAGACCTTAAGTGTCCCGATAAAATTTGTAGTAGTTCATAAGTTAAGGCTCAGTTTTGGGGAATATTTTATACAGAGCATCAGGGAAGTTTATTCTCTCTAATACATGACTCATGTTTCATTATAGTGGTGATTAAGCTGAACACATCTATTCTGAATTGCGTATCCTTTTTGATTCAGTGTATGGTAAATAAATGACAATATTCCAGCTTTAATAGTATGATCAATCATTTGGCTACAATCTACTCATGTACTATCCCAACTACTGAAACAACTGGGAATACATTCCAATATATATATATATATATGTATATATATATATATATCTGAAATACGAAAGCTATGCTGCTTCCGAGCTATCGTGAAATTTGTTTGGTCACTTGTGCCCTACACTTTGGTTGCAACACTAAAACTGCCATCCAAGTGCCCTATTCACTATACGGATTCAACGAATGAAATACAAAATATGACCAAAATGTGTTATATGCAACGGATTCACGGTGTAACCTACCTGGTCTGTTCATTCATCTTGCGCGATAAAAGATGATTTGCCTACTGACGGCCAGAAGTGAAGCGTACGCTTCACGAATCTCCTTGCATGTGTGAATGTGAACGATACATCTGACTGAATGCGTAGTCAACGAGCAACAGGAGGGGAATTAGAAAGCCCATGGTGGCAAAGCAAATGCCCAAAACTTCACCTATAGGGAGGGAGGGGGTATGGTGAGTGGCATTGCAAGGGAAAGGAACACGACGAGGTGGGAGAAGCAAGGTGGAAACGAGTGAGACGGGTATGGTACACAAATAAAATTAACAACAATGTAGTGTAAGACAGTAATCGGTCTCCTTTGCATGTCAGACAAAGTAAATAATGAGATTGAAAGGAAGGGGGCAGTAGGTTAGAGTCTAAGAAAGCAGTCTAACACAATTAGTTTGACGAGATCATTTAAAGCTATCTCTAGTCAAATAGTGTGTCCTAAGAATCGATGTAATCGGAAGTTAAATTAGGCGCCAGATCATCCCTAGCGGATTGCACGTGATTAGTCTGCCATGTAGTCGATCCCCCAACAAGTGGCCCACAGATATGAAAATCAGTGCATAAAGAAGCTCTCCAGTATTCCAAATAGGGAACGTTGAAACCAAATTATTGGGAAAACGTTTTCTGCTTTATGTAAGCTAGGATGACACTGAAAACGCGATTGTCTACTACAGTTCAGCGGACTACAGAAGTCCAGTTTACTCACACTACTGACTATATCACACTTATAATCACACGCGTGTCGGGGTGAACGGCGGAACATTGGCTGACCGGAGGAGGACAATGACGATGGTGGTCGACGGAGAACATGGGATAAACCCAGAAGCAAACCTTCAATTGTACAGATGGGTTACACAACGTAGAAGTGATCGTACCCGGAATTTTGAAATCCGAATTGTGCAAGACCCAGAACATCCTGTTACAGTTAAACCTGCGTCCTAACCACTTTACTATTTCACATCGGTTTTATTGAACCGTTGACCTCGGTTTGCAATATGCCTGTCAGAAGGGTGATGCAGATGTTGATATTTGCCCGTTTCATGCAAATGTTTGAAGTATACCTACTTAACTGATGAACTGTATACGTAGGTACAATGCAATTTCCGCTAACTATTGAAGTGCCATTGTGTGGTGATCCCAGTGTGCGAGATGATGCATACCCTGGAGCAATACGTTACAGTCTTAGGACAACTGCGATCAATCAGGATTCACGGGTGAGGTCAACAAAGCGCGTGCGTGCCACAGCGTCTGGACGACAAACCATAGGTCGATTGCACCAGCCAATCAGAAACCATGTGAACCAGACAGAAACTGAACAACGGCAGAAATACTAGAACCTGATTAACAGAGGCCCGGATGACCAATCAGTTTGTTTTGTACATATTTTTTGATCCCCCGTATTTCTTTTAATAAACGAACTATCTATCACTCTAGTGGTCTTTTCCTCGAGTCTCGCTTACGTGGGATATTGCGTGTAAGCTTCGGTATGGTCCAGTGCTTATATGACATCCGTGACTGCGAATCAGAGATTCGTATTCCCTGATTCGTGTTTCTTGTTCATTGCGTACCACTACTACCAGTACTACAACCACTATAAATTGTCACTACGAAGGCTGTTATAAAGCAACCACTTTCAGAGCGCTCAGGCACCCACCGTATTGCAGCTCTCACCGGATTCCGAACTTTTAAATTGTTTGCAAAGCAAAACGGGACAAGAATTTTGTGAGAATCAATGACACCTGTTGTTGAACTACACGTCGGCTACTTAGAATATGAAAATGTTTGTCCAAATAACTGGAACCGCAGTTCAACGAGACCAATTGTGAACAAATACATCCATTCTTCCATGCTTACGATGATAAGTGACAAATAAAACGTTTCCAGACTCCCCATCAGTGTGCAGTTAACATGAAGATTGATGGCAAAAACTCTTATTCAGAGTTCATCACGACAGGACCTTCGCTGTTAGACCTAGTTGTCACAAGGTAATGTCCAGACATAACTGGGCTAGAGATGGACGAACAGTTGGGCCAGTGATTATGAAGTTATCCGCTTTAGGCTAACAATTAGATATCGCAGACACAGACCTGCTCATTCGCCATTCTCCGACCCCATAAACGGGACAGAGTTGGTACAAACTGCAAACGATAACGGCTGGTATCCGACAACTCAAGATTGTGCTGTGCAAGATAGATGGAATATCGTTAAAGCAGAAAGGTTCACGCCGCAGACGAACATGGCATAGGCCAAATTGGTGGAAACTCGGGATAGAGGGGGTGCCGAACAGTGGCTGGGGACGCTGGTGCTGTTTTGAGCTCTACGTCAAACAACAAACTACAAACGGATACAGAAACGGGCTAAGAAACTCCAAAGACCTGTTAAATATAACTGAGTTTAACTCAGTGCGAAGTGCCAAAAATAAACTGAAAAGATTCTATGCTTACGTGCAAGCCAATGCACGCACACGGGCGAATGTAGAAGTACTAGCTTTGTCTGATGGAAGCGAAGCCATCTGTAACCGCGACAAAGCATAAACCACTTCAAAAGAGTTTATAGGTCACCAGCCAACCGGGAGTAGAAAGACCAACTGAGACCTCAGAGTTCTCCGAAATCACTTGCGGTGACAAAGAGGCAAATAGAGAGCTTATGACAGTAACCAAGCGCAAATTAGCAGGTTTGGATGAAATCCATCTGTTCATAGTACAGTCGCTGATCCGGGGTTTAAGCCTGGCCACTCACTATACTTTTCAGGGAATCAGTGCCAAATGCGAACTTAACCGATAATTGGCGTACAGCTACAACAGTGATGCTGAACAAGACTGGACCAAAGCACAGACCCGCCAGGCTAACGTTTTTCCTTGTGCTAAGTGACTGGAGCGATTGATCAGGAGGTAGATTTGCTTACACCCAACTAGCAACAACTCCTGACACCGGCAAAAATTTGGTCTTGTTGAACGGGAATCATGTCTTACAAACCTGCTTGTGTTCCCTGGATGAACTCACGCAACGAATCGACGGAGAGAAAGATGTATAAGTTTGTTAGTTAGACTTAAGTAAAGCATTTGACTCTGTTAGCCATCGATTGTTGGACTTCAAAGTTCAGAGTCTATGCATATTAGACAAATCAAGGGAGTGAATGGTAGCCCTTTTGAGCAATAGCACCTTTAGAGTCAAAGTGGGTGACCACATTTCTAACCATGAGGTGGTTTCCCAAGGTCAGTGTTAGGCTCCTTGCTATCCGTATGTTTCTTTGCTTGACATTGTTGCATCGATGTGCTTTTACAGCTGAATCGGATAATGTTATTGATGAGTAAGTTTCAATTCTGTTCACGTATGTTTTCTTGTATTGGGGAAATGGATGAAGAAAAAAGGTTGTTTCGCAGTTCTGTTTCTTGCTTGTTACACTCAATGAGTTTTTTTTCACATGATTCATTTTTTGATAGAACGGTAGCTTTCTTTTTATAAATACTAATGTGTTTTATCGCGGGACAAAATTACTTCCGTTTATTCGTGCCAAATCAACTCACTGAATGGGTTCACCACTGTATCCAGTGAAATCATTCGGCTAGTCGATAAACCGCCACCAACAGTCTCCACTTGAATAGTGAATGCCACCAAACTGAAAGGCAAAACACAGGATAACATTTTTTGAAATTGCATTAAACACAACCATGCGGTTGAAAGATTCCTCTTTTAAGTGGAACATTGAAAAAATTTCATGTTAATTGCGGGAGAACTCAGTTACACTGTGTTCAAACCCTGCAACCGCATTTATGCCGGGGTTCTCTAAGAGGTTGATGAGCAGATTTCTGATTTAGTGAGCGCCCCGATACATGCTGTTTTATGGTCATTGTCTACCCCGTCCCATGAAAAATCTCCATCGTTTGTTTACACGGATACCTCTTGACTGTTAGTCTACCCTGTGTGGTGTATTTTATTCGATGCATACTTACATTCCATTAGATAGTGTGATATCTGTCCATGTGCTGTGAGCTACTACTCACATTTGTGAGTAGTAGGCAAAAAGGACGCGGTTGGCGATTTTTTTTCACCGGCCAATATTGAACAAGACGTGCTGGTGTTGGTGAGTTCTCCGAGCTGGAAGTGTTGTTCGCAGACGTTTCGTAGACAAGGTGGTCAACAACATCACGGCGATTTCGATCCCACTGAGAACCGAGGGGTCCCTGAAGTCCCACTGATGATGTTGCCTTACTTGGTTACGATTCGTGTGACAATCATTCCACATCATTTCCATGAACACAACCTCTTGGAGCGAATTACTGTTTGCAAAATGATAACTGGGGACTGTTCCATTCATCATCCGGTGTGGTGCCGGGAATAGGGATGACATGTTCAAAATGAGACATCTTGTTGTATGCACGCCAATCGATCCGTATCCTAACTGTGGTTAGTGTTGAACAACTCCCATCCTCAAGCAAGCACTGATCTTCTGAAATTATAACACNACTTGTTGGCACGAGTTGTTTATCATCTGGCCTTCTCTAAATGGACCGAGGGGCCTCGCTGCTTTACTTTGTGCGTCTTTTGTGCCGCTGGCTAATTCACACGCACAATACTCTTTCCCTCAATACAACCGACTTCCTGGAGTCGATCATGGGTTTCGTGTAGTACAATATTTAACACAACAGTTTCGAAAACAAGCTTGTTCGCCATATTGATATTCTTAGCGGAATCTTCCATGTTTAAAGTTTCCCCAAATGTGTTTTCTGAACTTCATATTATCTGGGGTCTCATGGCTGTTGATCAAACAATATTAGGTCCCGAGAAATCGCTACTGTGGTCGTGTAGGCTTGCCCAAATACCGTATTTTTCCATACTAAACGCAATCCTTCAATGGGATGCTCACTATCTTCTCAGCCTTTATTGTAAATGTCACGTATGTAACAAAAGAAAGTAGGAAAAATTAAAAAGTGTTGTTTAATTTCGTGCCGCATCTCGACGTATACAGCGAGGATGGTGCTCCCTTCCCTAGGATTAGCTGATTCCGTAACCAGTTGATGAGATAACTGATTTGGAACTGTGTCGGGATCATCAAATAGCACCACACTATTAACCCGTTCTTAGTGTACCTCTCTGATACTGATGATTTTCTGTGCATTCAAATGTAAGACCCCAACTCGTAGAGAAGTGCTGAAGTGCTCGAAAGAACAATCAAACAAGAAAGAGGCACGGTTTCATGTTTAGTTCCATTTGGGTTAAAGTAGAACCCACTTGGGAGGGTTACTCATTGAGAAGATTGCCATATTGTTAGGTTTTTGTAAAACATATCTAAAGCACTTAACCATACGAGGAGCTAAATAACAGACGTGGTGTCTCATCTTTCAGACAAAATGACAAGCTAGCGTTGAAGTTGGAACACATTTTGCATCTTTTTCATCTCCTCCTTTTTGCTTCTTTTTCAGTTAAAGATGCAATTTTCAGGAAACGGAAAACGGCCAATAATAGGGTGACCGTTCAGCATACAATGGAGAAAGTCCGACGGTGGTGGTGGAATTTGAACACACACACACATCCCCCGGGGTGATAATGTTCTGACTGTACCACCGAGCCACCACGAAGCACAATGTGCAATCGACCAGAGTCGCTTTTCTTTCTGATGCTAACATCTAGTATTCTCACCGGTGAGTGTTCCATGAATGATGCTAACAGTGGCAACAATCGCGCGTGAGTTTCAGAGAGTCAAAGAACTCGCCCAATGCGAGTGTGTTTTCTGGCGCTACGATTAGTACATGTAGTAGCGTCGTATTCGAACAGCTTTTTCAGCGGTGCATGGGATTTTATATTTAATCTATTATTCAATCTTCTAGTTTTGGCAATTTAGACGAAAAGGTGGGAAATAACAATTTCCGCGTCATAAATCACGTGTTTTATTGTGTAACAGAACATTGATTGATCAATAGTAGATAGATAGGAAAATAATCAATATCTGTAGTTTATACGATTTCATTCCTTTCAGCTAAAACAGGTCAACTAAATGATCGGCAATGAAACAGACACTAGCACCTGTTTCGAGCTGGATTTCATGCTAGTTAGTTACCTGGATTGCGGTATCCTCGTCAAATCGGAAACAGGAACTTTGAATGCAGTTATGATCGCTTTGTTCGCCTCGACTATGGACGCCATCGTGTTTGAAAATGTGTCCAGTCGTTGTAAACACGACGCGATACGCTCGCCCAATTCCTCAAGAAAATCGTGATATCGTGAGGACAGCGTGTCATGCACTTCATCGGAGCATAAATCTCCAGTCAGCTGAGTCAAACCAAATTCCGAAGGTCGTTTTTTCTCCGATATGCTCACCTTTCGAGCCTGTAATGGACTGGACTTTCGTGGCCGAATTTGCATTCGCTTAGCCGACAAAACACGTAAATAATTTCTCAAAATATCTTTCAATCTAGGACTTGTGGATGTGCTAGAGAAGAACAGATTGATCACCTGAAGCTCTAACAGACCGGGTTGTGAGGTGGCCAAGTAATGGGCTTCTCGATCGGTCATCTTCCGGTCATAGTGTGGCTGAGTTGTGGGCCCCGGAACAGACTCTGTGAATGATTCACTCATGGTGAACGGGTTTTGCGATTCGGTGCGTCGGTGCGATTTCAGTTGCAATACTGCTTGAATGAAAGTGGCCTCCAAGTCACGTGGTCTATCCTCACTCTGTCTAGACTGCTCGCATCGAAGCACATTGCCCGTATAAAGACCATCTGTGAATGGGAGCTGACATAGTTCGCCTCGAAATCTGGCTGTGATGTTTGACAACAGTCGGATATTTTGGACCATGTCCAATTGACAGTCTTTGTCCACCCGTTGTCTCTGGCGAAACAAATAAATTGTATACATGTGAGCTTTTCTAAAAACAGTACGGTACTGTAAATGTCAACGACGGACCATATGTTTGTCAGTTCACTTCAAAAACAGTAAAACTGTTCAGATCAGTCTGAATGGGGCCGAGATTATGACCAAGCATATCCATTCACAGCCTCTATCGCCCGAAACCGTGAATTGGGCTATATCTAGAATTCCAAATGGGGAAAGCAGAGTGTATCCTCAAGATCGTTTCATGCTTATGTACATACAATGCATATCTCTCTTCAACACTGTAATCCACACCAATCAGGTGTATTCGGAAGCAGTCAGAAACTGGGGTTCGCACATCAACATGATGTCTGACGACCCATTTCCTGCATCGTCGCTGTAGTGAGTGCATTGAAATATAATCGACCATATTCTTTCTGTTTGTTGATTCTGTTTTTTTGTTTATTTATATGGGAACGCGAACCAGAAAAACAAGCTGAAACCGCGAATATAAGCCGAAGTAAATTTGCAGTTACTGTATAAACGAACATACGAACACTCTGTATGTCCCCTTATAAACGTATCTGTGCCAGTTTACTCCCTATTGCTTGTCATTGTGATACACGTGCGGCTTTTCTATTACACACTTTCAGATGATGAACAACAAACGAGGTAAACCCCATAGTCATGAAGATCTGCAGTTTAGGTATGGAAACCGGTAACCTAATCAGCGGGACTTTGAGTGGGTAATCACAACAGTCTGCAACGGGTTAGGCGGGGGCGCGTGTTGACCCGGATTGCAACAGATATGCCTTCCACCAAACTTGGATGACAATCGCGCGGTAACTCCGTGCCCCGGCGGAAGCCATATATTGATTAGTACAGACAGACTAACTCCACTTCGATGAACGAGTGCATATTCAACCGAAGTCACAACACTTATTTTGGAGCAACCATCAAATCGGACAAATACTTGTCCTCTTCCCCAAATGTGATATCATAGAGCATCTTTCGTCTGACATGGTGTAGTGTGGCGTAAAAAGGCGAGACTAATCCATTGTGTGCGTATAATGAATGCATCGGTAAGGGGCACGAGGAATTCTGCAAAAACGATACAAAATTGACACATACAAACAAATCGTGAAACCCGAGTAAAACGAACGAATTTCATCTCTGAATGGCTCATCTAAACAATTTTGGCTGTCAACTTCCCAACGAGAAGCTTCAGAAGAGCACTATTCACGATTCACCGACGCATTATAGAATTTTAGGACAGATAAGCATCAGTGTTTCACTGACTACGTGAAATACAGTTCCTGTCGAGTATTAAACTGACCCTCAACCACTAAATCATCACATGTTTTGTCCATAAAAAGAGTGTTAAACACATAAATGCACATAATTATGAGCGAATTAATATTTTAGCTATCCACAACTAACTTCGTTCCCGATTTCAAGCTATGCTGAAATCGGAAAAAGTGAATATATATTTCTCGGAGTTGGAGTTTAGCGGGGACTTGAATCACTTAGCTCAACCAGTTAGAGGGATTTGCACAAAGTAGAGAATAATCTCGGTCCACAGCCCCCCCCTCCCAAAAAAATCTATCTCTAAGAGTGCCCGTGCTAGTACATCGGATTCACACGTTTGCTGGTCCAAAAAATGGAACACAAGATCGTGACCGAAGCATTCGTGTGGAAGATCTTTTCTACTGGGCACGTTACCGTTAAGCATATATTGTATTCATCTTCCTCATGCTACTAACACGTTAAGTATTGATTTGGTGTTCAAGAATTGCTACTGGCATCACGCGTCACTTGAGACAGATGCAAAACAAACACAGCACACAGTGAATTTTGAACGGCGACTGCTGTTCACCGAAGCCATAAACATATGATTCCTGAAGCAGAATTTGATGTCCATGAACCAACTTCTGTCTGAAATTTTCGTTAGGACGATGATTTTCATCAACCATCATACTAAAACACGCCTAAAATACGGTTGGTTGTGTTCTAAACGAAGCCCTTAGTTATACGCCCCCTGTCACAGCGGACGTCTAAACATATTCTCAAGGAGTTGGTACAGTTGATGACGCAACAACGTCTTAGAGGTCAAACTGATAAGAGTAATCCAGGGCCATCAATGGTAAAACATCTTATGACAACTGGACATCTCATTGACCCCCAATTGTCTTTTTCAAGCGGTTATTATGTAATATGAACCCCAGGGTTTTGGCGTTGATGCTAATCAAGATGTGGTTGTGTAGACAATTTCATATCGCTTCCACCGTGGAAAGCATACGATAGCGAACCCGTCTTAATAGTCAACCGGTCATATTCACAGTGTGGGTTGTTTCAACTACTTGTGAAATCACAGCACTATTGGCGCTTGTAACCTCCTGGCAGACACCACGTACACCTCATATTTCCCATAGTTTTGACAATTGGATGACCTTAAAAACAAGCTCGTGATTAACAACAGCGTGGTGAACAACCTCGTTTTAAGTGCAACTCATCATGCCACCATATAACATTAAGTATGACTAATAACAAGAACAAAACAGGGAAAGAGAACTTCGAGTCGTAACGGTTCAGATCTGGCTCCAAATGTGTGTGCATGTGTTCGTGTGAAATCAATTACAGTGTCACAAGTTCAAGTAATTGCACACGTGTTTGGGTTGGTGAATTGGGCCAAGTGAGGCTACGACACTTCACTAATCTCGATTGAACCTCACAACTCGATCAGAACAGGCTTAGCACACCCACGGGTGATTTGAACGCAATCGGATAAGTGCCTGATCATGCGACCAATGTGCACAGTCCCACAGGAGCAGGTGAATGAATACACATAGGATGAAGTTGCAGAATCTGAATCTCTGTCCTTCAGTCGGACACACACAATCGGTTTCAACTTGAATACAGCTTTCACTTGAGCAACATGAACTGTCCTACTTACTGCACCGGATAGGTTTCTTCAAATGATTGCCGCCTCCGTGTATCTCGTGAACGGAGGATGCACATGTACAGATTTCTAACTGTTTCAACACGCACATGGGTAGATACTTTTGGAGCCAGATCTGAACCAGTAGAGCCCCAATTTCTCATCCCCTTTTGTTATTTTCATCTGGGTCTAAGTTTTCTTGTCCACCGCGCAGTGTAAAGCAACTCATGATTGAAGTTCAGTATGAAAAAATATCTAGTCAGTCGTCTGCTATGAGATCTTTAACAGGTGTCACTGAGGAGAAGATGGACTCCAACTTTGTACAATCATGCTATCAGTATTTGAGTCAATCACACGATGGGAAAGATAGCTTATCTAAGAGACACTTTGATGCGCTGCGGGACCTAAGAAGGGACCCGGATATCATCCTATCAAAACGAGATAAAGGTACAGACGTTGTTCTTATGCATCAAAAAGATTAGATGGATAAAATCAATGGGCGTTTAACTTTCTGAAACGGAACCGAATTTGCAGTCACCACCGGGGGCGGGGGGAGATAAAATCGCGGCTATTGAGAAGTCATATTCAAAGACGTTTGATAGAATCCGGCCGATGGGAACGACCATACCTAGATTAGACGGTTTACCGAAAGTACACAAACCGTACGATCCGCTAAGATCGATCTTGGATGTGTGTAATTCGTCTTAACACGCGGTAGCCAAATGAACTAGGTCAATAAGGAGAGAATTGGCAAAAAATCTTTGACGGACTCATTTGAATTTTTGAAGCCGATAGGCGTGTATTTTCGCCAGATGTAACTTTGCTCTTTATGGAATATTCCCCTGAGGGAAACACTTGATGTTTTATGTGAATACAATAAAAGAAAATTTATGAATATTGGAACTCTAGAGGCTCGCATAACGAAACTCCTTCTGCGATACGTTTTCAATGTTCCATTTTAGTTCAACGGTTGCCTGTATAGTTAAAAAGATGAAATTGTTATGGATTCACCATTAGGCCACCTGTTGGCGGATATATTCAAGGTAAAACTAGAGAATGAGACAGTATCTACCTGCATGAAACAGTGCATCCGATAAAGACGTTATTTTGATGATATTATTTGTGCTATTGACAATTCACAAACTCCCTCAATGCTTTTGGATAGTTTTAATCGGGCTAAGCTTTACGCTGGAAATGGAATCTGCCTAAGGAATGGCATTTCTGGATATTGATTTTTCACGCCATGAAAGTGGTTCTCTCAGACGGAACGTATACAGAAAAAATACTTGGACAGGACTATATATCGACTAAACACAGTTTTGTCCCGATGCTGCGTAAACGAAGCGTAATCCAATGTACCGTCGATTGTGTAAGAAGATTTTGTCCTACTGACAGAGTGGATGACGAACTGGCAACAGTCAATGTTCCTAAAAGATGAATACAAGATGAACTTATGGAACGTTGTATGAGAGCTTACATTGCAAAACTAACGATTCAACGGAGGAAATGAAGTTCGCATTTCATTGCCCTTCAAAGTTGACATTTTTGCGAGGACAATGAGTAATGAGCGACAGGGGAGGCGGTAGAAACTAGTTATTTCTTAGAGAAATTGTGCACATTCTACTCTTCCAAAGCAATTGTGTCGTTACAAATGAAGCACAGACTACCGATGGAGATGACCTCTTTTGTGTTGGCCAGTTTACTTCCTCCTGTGGCACAAGTCACGTGGGTCGCACCGCCAGACACCCCGCGGATCGAATAAGAGAACACGATCTAGCTTGGCTCAGTAGGGGACTGATACGGGCAGGTGCGATTGCGGTTACTGGTAGTCATATTTAATGTTATGTAATGGCATGGTTATACTCTGCCACTCTGTCATTATTCCTAATGTGTTACGCAGGACTATTGAAAAGTTCATGTGATCATAGAGAGTCCTAAGATGAAATTAGTCCAAGGTAATCTCGTATGCCGTCTTCTGCTTGAAAAAAAAAACACAAA